CTTAGTGATTTCTCGTGTTGTTATTCGACAGTTTGCTTCAATTAGTATGTTTATTTTGTTTTCATTGGCTTCAACTGGCCATCCAGAACGTGGTGCATCTTCAATATTGAAATTGCCAGAATGAGTTTGCAAACCAGTTTTGGCACTGTCATTGTCAATACATCTTCGCCATACACGTCACACAATTTTTTTCTCGCTTGAACAGCATTCTTACCTTTTCGGTTATAAAGGAGCAAAATATGTCGAAAATTCTGCTTTCGATCTTCCATACTTGATGGGACACAAAAAATAAATAATTGCAAGAAATCAAACAAAATTTTTTACAAATAAGCCTTAAAATGCTAGCTGTCAAAATATACAATGATAATATGTTTAAAATAAAAATGGCAGGAAAAATATGACTAATCTGTCTAGTGGTAAAAAAACTAAATTACTTTCCGAACAACCTAATATATGCATTTTCAAATTTTAATAACAAATATATATAATTACAAAAAATATTGTATTGTTGACAGTAAAAAAATTATACTCAAAATAAAAATAAATTCAATGCAATTTTTGGCATTGCCTTCCTTTTATAATATTGTCAATATCTGCTTTTAAGGTACTGGTATTAATTCTAAGGATGTTATTTAAATGGGAATCAACAGTTCACCTATTTCTTTCAGCAATTTTGATGTTTTTCATGCACAAAAAGAATTGTTCACAACAGTATGTTATGCATGTGGGGTAGTATAGTTTTCTAACATCAATTACATCATTACAACATCAAAGTGTATCCAGTAAAACGAGAATAACTTTTACAACATTCTTTACCAAAATAAATGAAAATGTACCTAAAAAATTTACTGTGCAATGGGCTGCATAAAAATATTAAGTGGACTACGGGTTGGACATCCCTGAGATAGTAGGAGAAGAATAACATATGTTGAGGCAACTAGGTATAGGTAGATATTTGAGGGCAAGAGGAAGACATGAAGAAAGGGAGAGTAAGAACAACTTTTGAAGCAAAAGTGTAAGACAAAGAACATGGAAGGGGAGAAGCATTGGCACACACAAAATTTAATCTGGGGAGCTGAATTGAACAGATTAAAAAAGTTTTTAATGTGAATTCAATAAAATTCCCACCTTACATGACTGCTAATTCATAATTAGTATAGAAATAGAAGACATGACATAATGTAAATAAAAAATAAATTTTAATTAGAAAATGATTTTCTAGTATTTGTTTTCCTTTTTCTTTGGAGGGTGCTAAGGGCTCCTTGGCTCCCCTCTAGGTGCACCACTGGGGACAAGGCAGAGTTGGTAGCTGAGATTAGAGAGCAATAGCAGAACAGGTATGAATATAATTCATAATTACAGTAGAAAAGATGAAATAATTAATGTAAGGAATAGAATAGAGGCAACTAAGATATAGATGTAGAAAGAATACTGATTACATAAAACCCAGCCTTGAAATCCATTTACACATCTATCAACAAAACACAAAATCAACATTGCATACAGGAGAACCCCAACTGTATTTGACACGTTGCATAATGGAAAGGACCCATCTCACCTGAGTAAATTACCAGGCATATACCAAATCCCAGTGAGAGATGAGAGATTCAGTAGGGATTTGATCTACATAGGATCAACAAAACACTCGATGGGGACCAGAATTAAGGAACACAAAGCAGGTATACAGTACAACAGAGCCACCACGTCACTCGTGATTTATGCGTCAGAACTGGGCATCAATGTAGACTTCGCAGGGGCATCGTTAATAGTCAAAACAACACGCATGGAACACCTCAAATGGCTAGAAGCGATAGAAATATGTAAGGCGCACACTACATCTACGTGCATTAACTGCCAAGAAGAAATGGCAAGCCTTATTACATAATAAACCGATAGCTTGGCAAGCCTTATTACATAATGATTACTAAGGATTTAGTTGGTGTAGGAGGATGCATGAGGACATGTTATGGTCATAATAAAAATAGTGCATCATATATGTATGAGAAGAGTAAATGCAATTCTACATGATGGTGACACAACAGATACAACGCATGCACAGTGGACATCACACAATCAAAACATTGTTCGAACTTTGTTCTTTTTAAAATTGCATAACGGTGTTTTAGAATAAGGAATCCAGCCATTTTACCTGAGGAAGGACACAGAAGGTGTTCAGAAAATGTTTGTTTTTTCAAAGTTGTTTATTTTTTGTATTTCTTCACACCGGTTAGAGGCTGGAGTAAGTAGGTTTTATTTATTTATTATAATGTAAGGAATATATTTAATTATCCAAAGATATGTGACTTTTATATAAGAAGTAAAAAGCAATTAAGTAAAAAGGTTTACAATTTCCTGAGGGGTTGCTGGAATTTATGAATTTGTAATGAGTTTTTCTTCTTAGAATGTTTGTGTTTTTTGGTTAAAATGGTTGATTGTTCCAAGGATGTTCCATTTTGGTTTTTGTGATTTGAAACTAGAACCAGTGCTAACTGAATATTATAAAGGTTGTATTTAAAGAATATTGAATACTGAGAATGGAATGAAAATCTGAGAGTACTTGATCCTGAACATGTACAAAGTAATGATGTGAAAGTTCTCCAAATAAAATAGTTCTAATGTTAATTTTTCTATTAACTTTGAGATTCTTTATCTCAATTCTCACTTCTCTCTTTGCATGATATTTTGCTCTCAATTGATTTTGTATAAATTTGGAAAACATATGGAAAAATATGCAGCTATGCACATTATACCATAACTATTATATGACAGAAAATGAAACAGAAGGCTATAGCCTATTATGTCACTTTTGTAACCTGTTATACAATACAAAACAGATATATACAGTAATACCTCGATTTACGTTACCCCGACTTACGCGAACCCGGAGTTATGGGATTTTCAAATCTCGTTGATTCGTCTTTTGTTTGAGCGCCATGCAACTCTTGATTACTCACTTCCCTCACACTATTGTTCGGCCATCAGTACAGACAAAAAAGAGGAGTTACTGTGGGAAGTCCCATGTCAGGACTTTTGTGTGAGCTTGTATTGAGAAAAGTGGAAAAAGTGCTCTTTCTGTTTTCTTAAATAACATTGTGTATTTTAAAAGATACATTGACGATGTCTTGGTAATTTGGAAGAATGACCAAAAAATTGATAAGTTTATTAACATGATCAACAACAACGATGATGGTCTCATGCTGAAGACTGAACAGAAATGTGCCTCACAAATACATTTTTTAGATGTTGGCATTGAATTTAAAGAAAAACATTTAGCCACTAATGTGTTCATAAAACCGACGCATAGCCCTCTGTACATTCCGTCCCACTCTAATGATCCTTACCAATACAAAATGGCTGCCTTCCATGCCCTTGTCCAAAGGGCCTTTCTCTATTGCAGTAGTGTGGTGGATAGGCAAAAAGAAATTAATAGAATATTACATATTGCCAGATCTGTAGGGTACAGAGAAGATATGATAACAACATTGATTAGAAATTACAAAATAAACAAAACTAAGGCTCAAAATGGCGATTTCAGCAAAATCACAAAGTTCACTTATGATAGAAAGAGAAAAGCCATCACGAAGGAAATCTCAGCCCGCAAAAAATCCAAGTTAATTTTCAAGAGAGCTCCTAACCTGTACAAATTATTAAGGAACGATAAAGACAGCATAGATAAAGAAAAAAGAGCAGGAGTATACAGGATTCCATATGAAAATCGTGAACTACACATTAATAAAAATTATATTGGTGTCACTAATAGAAGTTTAGGAGTCAGATTAAAAGAACACAAATACAATATCAGCAAGGGATCTAATGCCACAATACTATCGCAGTTGGCGCAAGTTGAGGGCTCAATCGTCAAATAGAACGAAGCAAGTATTATTAAACCAGTACATTCACCGACACTGGCGATTTGTGCTGAAAAAATTGAAATATATAAGAGCAGATTGCATGATGCATGCATTAATTCTAGAGATTCTGAAGGGTTGCCTTCGGCCTGGAAATATTTAATCAAACAATTAGACAGCTCTTAATTTAATGCCTTGNCCAACAGATTTGGCTGAAAATGTTTGCTTTTCATTAAATTTTTCTCAGCAAATTAAGGTGTTGTGTTTTTGATTTACATATAAATGCTGAGTGAGTGTACCTCAATCAATTGATAACACTGAAATCGTGAATCTTTGGTCTTCTCGAACTTTGTTTTCCACATCACAAACCAAATCTTCAGAAATCAGTGAAGGTCGGCCAGGACGTGGCTCATCATGCACCGCCCATCCTTGAACATTCTCACCCACTTTTAAACATTACTGTCACTCATAGCATTATCACCATAAACTTCACAAATCTGATAATGAATTTCTGCTGCTGCCAAGTTTCTTGCACTCAAGAATCGAATAACAGATTGTATCTCACAGTCAGCAGGTGATTCAATTTTCTTAAACATTATAAACTTTTACAGCTCTGCACACAGACAAACGATACAACCACAAATAATGTATGCTCCGAGCAATGCACATACGCACTGCTGCGATCACGCATCATTCTCACTCTCATTCATAAACAGACCTTATTTAAAAAATAGCCCTCATACTTGGTGTGATGCAGTCAAAAACAACCTCAACAGTTATTCTATTAATAATCTTTCACGTTTATTTGGCACAATTATTATCTATTATAATGTACTGTACTTTAAGGATTTTCAGGAGAGTAGAAAAAGAAAAAGAAAAATAGGAGCAGTATATCATCAAATAATCTCAGAACTGGGTCTTAAAAAATCCACACCAACAACGGACTAAAACTTAAAAAGCTACAAGATAAGACAGTTAGTTTTAGACATTTTAAATTTTGTATAAGAATTCCACATTTATTTAAATAAATAATCTAAAAAAATCCCATAAAATAACATGTTTGTATAACAAAAGCTATTGTGTAAATCTAAAATATTATTATAACTTAATTCAAAATATTCTTAATTACATCTCTACAAACTTCAAAATTACCTTCTCTAGCCAACGACCACGAATGAATGGGTCTCCGTGTGGTGGAAGCTAGTCTTGAATCTTCCGACGGCATATTCTTCATTCCATATTTGCTCTGTTCTAGCTTTTTCTTTGGAAGAATATATTCAGGTAATCTTTTCAAAAACCAAGCTCCAGATTTTTTCCACATCTTTATCATAAATTTTAGAAAATATATTTTATAGAAATTATTATTATTGAAAATAAATATTTTTAAGATTTATTTACCTCTCTTGTTTCAGCACAGATTTTACACAGCCACAATGGTTCATTTTCAGCATTTACTGTATCAACTCCACATTTACTACACACAGCCTGTTTATAGACAATTTTGCAAAATGTAAAATTATAAAATTTATGAGTTTGATTATTATCAACATAAAGTTCCATCTTGTTAACTTAATCTATTCAATTCATGAATATTTTTCACTTTTTAATTGAACATATATTAAATTATATTCTATTTATTAACAATCTCCAATTTTAAAGGTAGTACTTTAATAAATTTTATTTTACTACAATATCATCAACTTTGTGGATAATCATTTAACATTATTTAAAAAAACAAACACCAAAAAATCCACAGCAACAACATTTTAACAGACAAACATTTCCATCCATTTTAAATGATCATCATCACATTTTAAATTAGTAAATTCAAATGGAAATCATAATTAGAACAAAATTTATACATAAAAAGAACATTGATAGTATTGGATGCAACAACATGCATAACAGATGATATATATGTATTAGTTCAAATAAAATATTATCTGTACTGTGAAGGGAATGAAGGAACCTTCATTAAGGATCTTTGTAAAAAAACTTCTAAGTGGAGTAATACTGTCTCTATGTCCCTGTAATTAATGATCATTGATCTACTGGCTGCCTTGTTATTTAATTCCAGTTATTTAATCTATATATATAATCTAGACAAGTTGATAATGATAATAATAATAATATTAATCAGCGCAGAGCCCAAATGGTTAAGAGTTGAAAGTTGAAATTTGGTACACAGTTAGGATGTGTCATGAGAACGCACACTAAAAAGGAGTTTTTCGAAATTCCTCCCCATGGGGGAGAGGGACAGGATTAAGGCTTAACACTTCCATCAACAATGGAAGTGTTAAGTAATAATGGAAGAGTTAAGAAACAACAGAATTGTTAAGAGAAAGCAGCATGCAAGACGCAGATGCAGTTTTTTTCATTTTTGCAGGAAATTGAACATATTTTTAGACCCATCTAAAAATTCTCTAATTAGTCTGGAAACAGGGGGACTTAATTCTTGCATTTTTTGAAAACGGGTAAGGTTGATGTAATAATCTTAATCTTCACTATTGTTACTTTTGCCCGAGCAATGCCGGGCCTACCTGCTAGTTAAATATAAAGCAGAACTGCACTATAATATACTCATTACATAATAATAAAAATACTTTTCTCATTTTTTATAGAAAATTTTAATAAAACAAAGTAATGTTTTCAGCTATTTTGAATAGCCTTCGTCGGGTTTAATGTATACAGTAATACTGCAAGTTACATAAGTAATGTGGATCGTAGACCTTTATATAATTCGAATTTTACATAAGTTGAATTTGTAAATCGCTTAAGTGTAACTATGTAATTAATAAGTAAGACTGTATTTATTATTATATGTGTACTGTATATATATTATTCACCTTTTGCCTTCAGTATTGTATTCACTGTCAAAATCAGTCAATTCATTTCCCCAGCCATTGTTGTTTTCTTCTTCATGTCTACATACATATGAATTACTTTTAATTTTTCTTCTACAGTAATTGCAGACCTTCGATTTTTTGGTTTATTACCAACGAATTTGGTTTGTCATTTTGATTGCATTTTAACAATACTGTACTATAAACAAACAACAAACACTACATAAATGTAGCAGTGATAAACAGGCTATGCATTAAATAAATTACTCCATGCAAACTACTGTAGACTAATGGCATGAAACAATACATATAGAAAAACAAGCAACAAAGTTATGCTTGGTTTTTCAATGCACTCAATCTTCACTGAGTACTATAGAAGAATCTTGTTTACAAGAAAGAGTGCCCAGTATGCTTGTGTATGTGCTTACAATTAGACCAAAAAGTAAAGGATTAGCAGAGCAATAAAGTAATAAATCAATACAATGTGGAAGAAAGAAAGCAAGAGAGAGAAAGAATGATTGAATGAATGTTTGAAATAGAATAATTTAAGTGTGCAATGCCATAACATTGTAAATGCCATTTTTCTCTAAATACGTTTTATTGAAAAATTGGACTCTAAATGCAATGTTTTCTGCCGCAAAAGAATACTGTGGAGATATTGACACTGTAACTGGCTGTATTTTGAAGATGAATTTATGTGAAGATATAACATTTAAAGTGCCTGCGTGCAAGTCACACGACTTTTGGCACTTAAAACATTACGGCTTATATTTACATCATTTTGATATTCCATAGAATTTGTAACCTAGTGAGAAATGAATTCATTCATTACAAAAAGCATTTTTTTACCTCTCCTGAAAAGTTTCTTTTTTGGCATTTACAACATTATGGCATTGCACACTTCAATTCTTAGTAAAATTGCATGTTACTCTATTCAGATTATTTTCCAATTTTTCAGATTTACATTTTATTTAACTGCGAATTTACATAAGTCATGTGTTACGTAACTCAAGGTATTACTGTACTTTTGAACATCAATTAGAATATAAGATTTAAAATTTTGAGCTTTGCTCACATTCTTATGATGTCATAGTATTACAAAAATTGAAATTCCTAAACTTATACAATTTAAATAAAATAAATATAGAAATAAACATTGAATGAAATTACACTTATATGTTAAATTTAACAAAGAATTGAAGTGTGCAATGCCATAATGTTGTAAATGCCAAAAAAGAAACTTTTCAGGAGAGGTAAAAAAACACTTTTTGTAATGAATGAATTTGTTTCTCACTAGGCTACAAATTCTATGGAATCAAAACACTTACTAAAACACCTTTTCTTGCAGCCGACGCTTTATTATAACAACTTTCAAACGTTTTCGATCTTATTAAAAGACCTTTCTCAAGAAAATAAAATTAACTAAGTAACAAAATAAACGACACAATCGTAAATCGAACGCTTAGTACGAATAACTGTTTTTTAAATCTTTCGAACTCGCTTATAATCCGTTGTANTATTATAATAATGTAAGGACGGATAATCAGTGGCTAAGTGGCTATCAGTCTTACCAGTTTTCTTATATAGGCTCTACATATCAGTCTGTAGTTATTTATAAGTAATTTAATTATTAGTGTTAGTAAAGTAGTGAGTAAGTAATTAGTAGTAGTTTAGTAGTTAGTTATTACTATCACAACCATGAATCATATACATTTATATCATCATATATCTAAGATACTAATACTCATTAATTTAATTAACTATTTAACTAACTAGGTAGTCTCAGTTTTCACTAATTTTAACAATAAAATTGCCTAGCCTAGCCCACTAACCACTTCTAGAATAAAAGTTAAAAACTCTTACTTAATAGAATTAGAGAAGTTATAAAATATTAGTCTTGTCTTGAATAAAGTATTTTAAAGGATTAAATAAAATTAAATCAATCATTTCTGTTAATTTTTTGACTTTTCTAAAAGTAGAATCTCAAGAAACAAATAGTATTGATGGTGTTGTCTCCCAAACTACTTCTTAATGAATTGCATATATATCCAGCTGAAGAGAAGGCCCTTTCTGCCTCTATGCTAGTTGGTTTCAGGATCATCAAATAATCATAAATAAAAGATAAGTTTTCACCTCTGACTCCCTTACTTTCATAAACAGCCGTTTCCTTTTTAAATACGAGTAACTTATCATAATCCTTCTCAGTACTAGTTTCTTTCCGTTTCATGAAGTTTTCTTTCTCACGCTTTAGTTGAATCTCCAATTCTTGTTCCAATATGAAATTCAGAGAATGTGGGTTATCTGGATCATCGTTTTCCACTTCCATAATATTCTCTGCCATTGCTGCTGGTTCCACTACATATGTATTTACTCGATTCAGCATATTTTTTCATCTCCTGGCGCATTACATTTTTTTTCGGTATTGTGAAAAAATAATCGGGCTTTCTAAATTTTTGGTCATACTTCTTCGGGTTCTGTACGTAAATCAGCATCCCTGTGACCTGGATAAGACGCCGTTCTCTAATTCTTTTGCGAAGTGCCTCAGAAAGCTCAACACTCAAGATTGTGTCCTGGCTTTTTAGTTTGTCTAAGACAAATTTCAGGGTTGTGTCAGCAGTTATCAAACTCGACTCTTCTTTTATTTAGCGCGAAGACACTTTATTTAGCGAGAGCGGAAAGTCAACTGGCAACACCACGCTGCCTGTTCAGTGCGGCACGTGCTACAACCCCTCTCTACACCGCACTGCCTGTTTTTTTACCTCTGCTGATCAATTAGATCAGCAGAGGTAAAAAAACAGGCAGTGCGGTGTAGAGAGGGGGTGTAGCACGTGCCGCACTGAACGGCAACATCGCTGTCGCTGCTGAACGATAGCGCATGTAGAAACGTGGCAACATCGACGACGTAGACTTTAGCGTCATTATTTAGAAAGTTAATTGAGTATTTGCGGATCCACTGCGCTGGATCCAGCACCTGATGCTGAATCCAGCAGGCCGAAGAATGCGCTGGATCCAGTTGGATCGCTGGATGAGGGATCCAGCAATTGCAATCCCTAGTAGTGACATCATTCATTTGCTAAAATAAACTTCTATAGTTATTCATTAAATTTTTCTGTAAAACACAACAAAACAAATTTGCAAGAAAGTATGTAAGTAAAAAAAGAGATAAATTTTCCAAAAAAGTCAATAGAAAAAAAGAAAATTAAATAACACTGCAAATCCAAACACAAATGTGTGCACAAAGGACTCGCGCAAATACAACTGTCCACAAACAAACAAAGTTTCTCTTTAATTTATAGGATTAAAATAAAAGACATTACTTTACAACAATCGTGGCACGGTACTGGTGTGGCTCCAAGTAAGCCAAATTTATCGGCACACAAAATGCATTGAGATACTCCATTTCCAATAGCATTTTTCTTCATGTTCTCTAGTCGCTCTACTAATCTCCTGAAATGAAAAATAATTTAGATAGATTACAAAATATAACTTTAATTATATAATACAAAACTACAAAAACTGTAAATCCAGTTACTGATTTATAATTTATTATTATAGTATTCCCACAAACTTGACTTAACATGGACAGAGAGGATGATAAATTACTGAAAACATGATAGGCATTGCAATGATACTAGTCTAAACAGGGCAATTTTTGTAAAAGTATTATATTCTTTGTTAACATGTGAAATTTATGCTATTATGAAGTGTTGCTAGTGAAGAATAATAACTGATTTGATCCTAGTGTTGTAATTAATAATCTAATTTTTATTTCTGTAACATGTATTTTTTTTCTTTTGAACAACACAAGTTTAACAGGATATTGAGCTATTGAAAGTTGAGTTTCTGTCTCTACTGTATTTATATAAACATAAATGAAAAAAAAAATACAGTAGAGACAGTAACTCAATATGTTATTTTTCTTTTTTGTAATCAATGCTTGATTTGTATAGTTTTGTGGTTAATTTATTTTGGTTTTATTTTCTGTATTTACTTTTTTCTTATTTTGTATTAGTTATTTATGCAATTGGTGTTATATTTTCTACATTTACCTTTGCTTATTTTAATATTGATTAATTGCTTGTTTATTAATTAATTATTTATTAGTTATTTATGCATTTAGCATTTTATTTTTCTGTATTTACTTTTGATTATTTTTGTATTAATTAATTAGTTGTTCAGCTCTTACACATGCAACTTTAACACATGCAACTTTAAGATCAGATGAATACTTTTGAATTAGGTATTCAATTTACTTTGTATTTCATCTTTAGAACCTAAAGATGACTATTGGAAAAAGTTTAAAATGTTTGTTCTCTCAAATAAATTGGGTTTATTCTGAATTTGGTTTACATATCAAACCAACTTATGCTCCTTTGTACATCCCATCACGGTTTAACCCTTTTAATACCTTAATTTTCCAGTACAAAACAAAACCAACTAATGTTTTCGATCTAAGACTAAGATCTTTATCCTCTCTTAGATCAAAAACGTTAGTAACTTTTGTTTATACTGGAGAATTAAGATATTGAAGAGGTTATTTTACAGTTTATACGTATCAACTTTTCATTAGTAGAGAAAGACATTAATATGAGAAATGTTTTCTTTCTGTAATTGAAGATTTTCATTGAATTAATTACAAAACTGTACTTATTCATATTTTCCAGTAAAATAAATAACAAAAACATAATTTTTCATACCCAATTCTTTCTTTCTCTACTTGTTCAATACATTCTGCTCGTTTCAATACTTTAATTACCGTTTCAATTTCAACATCGCTGATTTGTTGGGGTTTAACATATGAGTTTAAAATACTCGTCTTCACAGACCATCCTGTATTCAATCTGTTCAAAAATTAAATATAAATTAACAAAATTAAAAGTTCAAATTACAAGTATGTTATTAATAACATTGAATAAATCACAAATTACACCAACAAAGAACATCATCCAAAACTCTCCAATTTCAACTCTTCTTACTTATATTGTTTCCTAGTCCTTTATGTCCTATATATATTTTTTCTACTGAACAAAATAAACTATAAACAAAATAAAACAGCATTTGATTTACTATGCACATACACTATGGTTTCTCTGACTTTAAATTAACGGTTATATATTTTTTATAATCACTGAATTATTAAAATTAAAAATGTTTTATTAAATAAAAGTAATTTATATGTTGCTAATCCATAATTGTAAAACTACATGACTCATTTTTTTCACATTTTTGGTGCTTTACAAAGACCAACCTATGACAGTTTAGTTGGTGGATGCTACACACCAAAATACCATATACAGATTCCAACAATTCTATCCATTTGCCACTTAAAACCATGAATGCCGCCCTAAGTGCATTCATGGTTTTAAGATTTAAAAAGTAAAGAAGATTCAATGTTATTTTTATGTACGTTTAAGCTATATTTAATTATAATTATATTAACAGATTTTCAGACATAAAATCTTTAGAATTATCACTTTTAAATGTTAATTTTAAATATTATGAAAAACAATTTTCATAATATAAGTATAGAAATTTGCAATAAGATACATATGCAATTAATTTTAATTAATTCAAAGTATGTTCAAATATGAAAATAATCACACAATATGTATTTAATTTTAGAAAATACAAGGGAAGCGATGTTTCCACAGCTTCAAGGATGGCACACCACTGGTACTATTTTATATTAGTTTAACACAAATATTCAAATTTTTTAGTAGTGAAAAGATTGTGGATGAGGATGACGATATTACATTTACAGAGTAGAATAAAAAATAAACTCAAATAAATGTTATATGAAAAATTATATATATATATACACTACTTTAACAATAAAATATAATATAAAAGTAATGATAGAATAAATATAAATAAAATAATCAAAACATAATAAGTAAATACATTTTATTAGATATATTTAACAGAAAAGTAATTACATTCACAAATGATTAGACAGACAACTATTTAAGTGATATTTTTCAACAAAACAAAATAAACAAAACTTGTTGACATCATGCACATTCAACAAATCAAAGATTTTGGCAATTATTCTCAACACAATTTAAACTGTTAGTGTTTAAAAAAGAAAAGCACTTTTGTTTTACATTTAAAAATTCACATTTTTTGTGCATGAGTCCACAAGCAAACCATGCATATTTAATAAAATTATTAAATATTGAAGCAGATAACTGATGATGAAAAATTGAATGTAATTTTATTATGCCATTTCTAGTTGTCCAAAACAATTTCATCCAAGAATCATTAGAAAATAATTGTATAGCATTTAAAATTCTTTAGCTAAAAGTTTTACTTGTCTATGAAATCCAACATTTAAAGGTTGGCATGTAGATGTATACTTTGGTGGAATAATTAGTACTTCTTATAAATTTTAATTTATAGATGTTTGAAATACCATATTATAAATATCGGCCCAGAACGGGACTCGAACCCACAACTCAGTAAGCAGGAGTTGTGGGTTCGAATCTTTGGGTGAATTCTCTTCTTCCAGCCCCTTCTAAATTAATTATTAAAACATCAATTTAATTACAGTTACTAAATTTAGCAAGACATGGTGCCTAAAATCTGTCTCTAGTGCCAAATTACTTAGTATTTAATTAATAATAGTAGTAGTAACAAAGTCCAATATAATTGCAATCATTCAGCTTTAATATACAGTAAAAACTGCTTAGGCGACTTCCTGCTGTTGAAATGGGCAAAAATTTCTGGAATAGTTTATACATAGAGCCTTCGTATAAGTTACCTGTATTAAACATTACAATCTTNAGAGGCGCCCCTATCGTGTGTCATATTTCAAACATTCAAATTAACAATTTTAATTCTTATTTAAATTAACAATATGAATTATTATTATTCATTTGGCAATAAATTATTATTTGGTCAATATACCAATATAAATAATTCAGTATATTTGTAATATGAATTTATTATTTCAGGGGCTTATATCTCACGAAGGGTCGCGAGTAGGGGTATGGTTCCTTTGCCTTTATTGTTCGCACAAAGGGCTACAGTTTGGGGGGGTCGCCACCTCTTCACCTAATCTTACCATTGGGACTTTAACAGAGCTGTACAGCATATTGATAGGAAAAAAAAAGTCAAAGGAACCGTGCTTCATGGAAATTTGTAAACAACGCCCACTAGGGGGCGTCCTGGGCTACTAGTATATTATATATTGGGTTTAGCGATGTTTGTAGACAATGATGTGTCGAAATAATTTGACTAACTGCACTTTCACAACACATCTTTTAATCATTCAACAGTCATCATCTACTTGGTTAATTGTCACTGTTGATAATATCAAAATTCTCTACAGGCATGTCTACCATGTTGTTTGGTCTCTCTATCCCAAAAATCTTATGTTTAATGGGGTTGAAAATTTTATTGGTGTCCTGAGACTCTATTATGATTTTGTCAATCACTTCCACAGGTCTAGACTGATTCAATGTCACATTATTTGTGATCACCTCACTGTGAACCCTTGAGAGAAAATCCACAACCACGTTCTCTTTTCCTTTTATATGAGCCAAAGTTAGATCATATTCGCTCAACTCCATTGCCCATCTCATTAGGCGACAGTTGTAATTCTGCATATGTTTCAGAGAGGCTTATGATTGGAATAAACAATCACCAGGCGTCCGAGGACAAGATATCTAAAATGACATAATGCTAGGACGATGGCCTTACATTCTTTTTCCATGGTTGAATACATTCTCTCGTTTCCTTGTAGCTTCTTACTATAAAATCCTATTGGACTGACAAGTTCATTCTCCCCCACTCTCTGGTTCAACACTGCACCTATGCATCACTCGCTGGCGTCGGTACTTAAAAGGAATTCACTCTCAAAATCAGAGTGTCCCAATTTTTGGGTGTTGACTAACATTTCTTTAATCCTCTTAAAACTCTTCTCACATTCATAATTCCAATTGAACTTTGCCCCCTTTTTACTTAAGTCAGTTAAGGGCTGTACTATATGGGCAAGATTTTAAGTAAATGGTCAGTAGTAATTGACCATTCCAAGGAATGTTGTAACATCTTTTGTGTGAGATGGTGCCAGTACGTCTGTTATTGCTTTGACATTCTCAGGGTCAGTTTTGATCCCCTTTCCATTTATGATGTGACCTAGATATCTTATCTCGGGGACACAAAATTTACACTTCTCTTGATTCAATTTTAGTTCTGACTTATTTATGGTGTCCATCACTTTATGGATGAATGATATATGTTCATCTAAATCACTGGAGAATAGGACAACATTGTCTTGAAAGACAAAGCATGAATGTCCTATGAAATGAGCCAAGTTGCAATTCATTACAGTCTGGAAGTAACGACCACTGTTTTTTCCTCCTGGGGCATGTGACATAGTTGATATTTCCCCAGGGCATGGAAAAAGCAAAGACCTCCCTTTTCTTCTTCTCAATGGGGATTTGAAAGTACCCCATGCTCAAATCAAGGATTGAGAACACCCTACTTCCTCTAAATTGTATCAGAATATCATCAACCCTAATCATAGGGAAGTCCAGACTAATAGTTATGTCATTTATCTGTCATAGGTCCAACATAAATCTAATGTCTCCGTTGTCTTTGTTTACAATGTGTATGAGCAAGTTCCAAGGAGAATTACTCTCTTCTATGATTCCAGACTCCAGGTAGGAATTTATTTTCTCTTCTAACTTGGGAAGCATAATGTGAGGTATCCTATATTGTCGAGTGTTTATCAGTGTAAACTCGGAAAGCTCGATATTATGGCAAAATTTCAAGGTTCCTGTTAGGTTTTCAAGCTTTGAGGCGAAGCAAGAAGAGAAGGTATGTATCAAGTTAAACATTTTACTTTGGTGGGGAGGAGGGATATGATCCACCTTTATTCCCTTAGGAATTGTACATGTGGCATGATTTATCACTGTGAACATACACTCTGTACTTTCGTCTTCCTGTGCCCATGTGCTAATTTTATATAACAATTTGTATATCACCTCAGACTTTCACAGGAGAAGTTGATTCCAACAATGGCATTATACATAATTGTGAACCGCCGGGAGGGTGTAGGTCTCCCGATTCGGCAACAGGTTGCTAAACCTTCTCACTGCAAAATGGATTAAAATTTATCCCTTTTCCCGCTGTAACGGGATTTAATGTTTCGGGTCGCGTGGCAGAGGGAGGAGTGCCGTCGGTAAGATGACAGGCGATATACGAGTAATAGAGGACACCAATTTAACAAGATAACAACGATTTATTAGCTACACAGATATTACAATAACTAATTTCAAGGGAAAAATCTGAGTCCCTAAAACGCGAAGGGCCGAGAGAGAGTTCACAAAAATTTGTTCCATCCCTCTTTCTGAAGATAATCCTTTGAGGAAAAAATTTATGTTGCTCGTTGAGGAAAATACGATTAAATGTAATATATGAAAGATCACATAGGATTCATAGGACACTGTATTCGTAGGATATAAGATTCTTAGGACAATATTTGTAGGATATAATATTTGTAGGACACAGTATTAAAGTGACGGCAGATGAACGACTCCCCCAAGAGGGGGAAGCAAGTGGCTTTTATAGTTTCGTCGTGGGAGAATGGTCATGTGACCAATTGTTGCGAGGTAAAAGGTACTCGGATGGGTCAAAGTTGTCCTTCAGCCCATGCTAACTATCAACTTAGGAGTTGGAATGTGGGATTGTTTTTGAAATGGACGGATGTTTACTTTGAATGAAAGGGGAGATTGGAAGTTTTCCCTTTTTTTTAAGTTAGGTTTTAGTTTAGGGTTTAAACGGAAAATTTAATTGGGATTTTAGAAAAATGCGGGATATTAATCAGGAAATTCGGTAAAAATTCCGGATTTCACATAATCAATGAACATATTTGCTTTGATGCTCCCAAACTTCTGTTATATGACCTTGCCACCACATCAGAACTTCATACAAATTACGGGTTCACAAGTTACAGTTGGTCCACTTATCCCCTTCACCGATAGTGTTTCATTGACTATCTCGCAATTATCTACATCTAGTAGCATCCTTATTGTGTTGAGATTCATTAACAACCTTTCCGGCCTGTATCAATGAGAAATCTGACCACCTTTGTACCAATTGCTTCTCCACATGCCAGTAAACTATTCATGTTTCATCTTATGTTCAGGGCCAGCTTACAAACATGTCTGAGCTTATGATCCTGGCCACTATTGCAAGCCCTTGTTAGTTTAACTGTTGTTTTGTTTTTGTTGGGCAGTTACGTGCAATATGTCCCAGGTGACTAAAAGCGTAACACATATATTTTGTAGCTGTCATTCGACTCATGTTTTCCAAAAGTTCTGCCACCTGTCTTACAAGCTTCTCTACAGTTTCTCTCAAATTGCCTTCCTTGTGTTCACCTGCTGCTTTATTGTTGGTGACATCCTCCTCAGTTTTTGCGATGATTTCTGCCATATTAACATAACATGTGCTCTCTTTACAAAAAACACCTTTGCTCAACCTCATTAGCCTTCTCTGCCAGTTCAGCTGCTTCATCAAACAATATGGGTTGATAGTTCAGTACTTTACAATGTAAACAAATATCTATCCCTCCTAATAAACTGATCCAGAAGTAGTCGTTTATTAGGTTCACGTGGATTAGCCTCAATCACTTGGTCAACCGCTTTGCATGGGCGAATGCAGAACTTCCATAGATCTTCCTCTTTCCGTTGCCTAATACCTGTATATTGTCTTAAAGCCTCTCTGCCATCCTTCACGCATTATCAAAATTTTCTAGTGATTCTTTCCCTTATTTTATTATAGTCTTCTCCATACATAGCCCGGGCCTTATTAAGAAAAGTTAGGGTTTTCCTTTTAGCCTAGCACTGTCTATTGTAAGGTAATCCAACTTTCTCCATGCAGCTAGCTTAGCAACGCTCTCAAATTCTAAAAAAATTCTCTAATTGAAATCATGTCTGATGGGGTTCCTGTGAATGTGGGGACCATTCCGAGGCACCTGGCAATTAATGGTGGACACATCGCTGACTGTTCTGCTGAACTAATCTGAGTTTCGGGTTCCATTTTCATTGAATGCATTTTCACAACTTGAACTATTATAACTTGGTGTGAAAATGGAGTCTTGAGAGCAAATCCTGTTGCAGATGCCAATTATGTGGGGAAGTACTCGATCTATAGAGTATTTCCCATGCAGGAACAAAACAAACAAACTTTAAAGAAATAAATCACACACTCTATGACTCCAATGCAAGGAATTTAAACTTTATTTTAGTCCTTCCGAGCACTTCTCTGTCCTTTTGCTATAACAAACAATAAAACAAAGAACACAACACACACAAAAAAACAAACAAACTCGTGACTCTCATATACATGTCTTCCCTCCTTTTTCTTTCTTCCAAAAAAAAAAAAAAAGACCTTCTTCCTCCATTAAACATGCACGATATCCTTCTCTCCCTCCTTTAATCTAGCCCAACCAAGGAGCTGGTTATGCAACAGAACATGTGGTCTTCAGACCACAAGATAATACATCTTTTACATAGTTTATAATAATTGCAGTGAATAATTTGCCAGATGAGCTAGCTGTCATAGTAACATTTGGGGCATTAAACAGCAATCTTTGAACTCTAAGTCCAAAGGTTCCATCAGCCTCTTGTAAGCAAATAAATACATTACCTACAACCTGTCCATTAGCATTAATTAAATATTGAACAATGTAAGAATGTGTAACTGTTTTACTTGGAGAATGTGCAAATCCAATAGTATTTTTTTCCCCTTTATATGAAAGTGTTCTTGGTGAAATCGTTTAATACGAAAAACCACACTGATCCGTATTGAATATAAAGTTACGCAAATAAGATGGCAATAAATTTTTTCCTGTTGTTTGAAATTGTGCAGCTTTTATTAAAATATCCTTTTTGTTTTAAAAATTACAAAACTTGTAAGTAAAACAGAAATACCTGTTTTATTTACAAGTTTTGTAATTTATCGAGATACTAATCTGTATTCTTTTTTAAATTTAGCAACCTAGGAATCACTAGCTGTGAACTTAATTGATCTGTTCAGTTCAGGAAATTTCTGTAATGCCCATATTTTTATTTGACTTCCTTTAACAATTTTATAGCTTTCTCTAGCTTCGTCAAATATTTGCATAGATACAAACATTTAAATCCTGCTATAATATTTTGAATATTTACATTTAAGTCTTCTCCCATTTTTGAAAATTGTAGAATTTATTCTAATGTAATATCGTCGTCTTTCTCTGCGACCCTTTCGCTACTAAAAATTTGCATATTTGTTGTAAACTAATATAAAATAGTACAACATTTGATTGCTATTAACCCAAATTAATAGTTTTAGTGAATATTACAAATTTAATATAGAGTTTGAATACTTCTAATGTAATTATTAACTAAATTTTATTAATATTTATTAAAAGACACTTCAACAGTTCCCTCGTCATCGTTTTTACTTCCTTTTATGTGATATTTGGCACGAGGTTCAAGCTGTATTGTATTGCAGTTTATTAATATTTTATAAAGTTTAGAAAATATATTAAGAGACAAGTAAGTTTATAAATTAAATTAAAATAATCAATTCTATGCATTCAAAGCTAGAACTACTTAAAATAAGTAAGACAAAACCTTTCACACTTTGTTTCTAGCAGTTTAATCACAGGTACAAACGTTTTTGTTTGTTTTGAATGGCCTTCTTCAGGTACAATAGATACCTGAACAAATACTGTACAATAGATTGTACAGTATTTGTTAATGATTAATAAGTAGTAATTTTTTTTGAAAGTCATGTAGTTTTACAGTTATGGATTAGCAACATATAAATTACTTTTATTTAATAAAACATTTTTAATTTTAATAATTCAGTGATTATAAAAGATATATAACTGTTAAAGTCAGAGAAACCATAGTGTACACGCATAGTAAATCAAATGCTGTTTTATTTTGTTTATATGTCATATTATAGTTTTTGTTATTTTTGAAAATGCAGTTGGAGAAGAGTGAAAAAGTTTTGCTAAAAAGAAAGCCAAAAATTTGCAGAGCATTGCCAGAACGAAAAGTTATTTCAAATTAAAAAATTATAACATACGAGTCTTACAAAAACTTATACTTTAGCTATCTAAAACGTAACGTACTTAGCCCTCAGAGCTAACTCCCTGTCGGACGGACAAACCCATCTGTCTCTCGACACTCCGAAGTCGACCATCGTCATTCGTTTACGTTAACGGGTCAAAAATTACAAATCTTCATACTGAAAAAATATAAGCGTATAAATATGTTGCTTCCAAAATATATATAAAAATATATTGGGAATAAATTTTTAAATACAGTGGGTGATCGGTTAACAAACAGATCAGTTAACAAACAAATAGGATAACGAACACTTTCGCGAAAGATTTTTATGATCGGACAACGAGCACACGTTCGGATAACGAACACTTCACCGAACAAACACAAGAAGCGACGTAAAATAACGAATACCGATTGGTCTTCCTTTGTCTTCGGGCAACAATTCGAAACTTTTCGGAGCGCGGGAGACGTCGACATCGACGTTCTACCCAGTATATACTAATCGGATAGTATTCCCCCAAACTTTGAAACTCTCCCTTGTAATTCCAGTCTTTTGTATTTCTGACAGAAACAATTCTTTTACGTTTTCTTCCGAAAATGCAGATTTATGCCGATATCTGCTATTAAAGATCTTTTGAAGAAGTAGGAAGATGTCAGAACAACGGTCTTAAAATGGCATCCAAACCAAGTCGAGGTTAATAGGCCTAGGGATCTCTACAATTACAATGCTATTAGTTACTTCTGAAAAATCACGAAGAAGAGAGAAAAGCAATCGACATTAGACAGATTCTTTAACCACCAGAAACAAAAAAAGTATGACTAATAAAAATGCAAGACGTGTATATATGTATTTTTATTATTACATACTGTGTGGTTGCAGCCCTCTGCCTTATACGTGTCGTATAGTTTTTTTTTTTTTTTTTTTTTTTTTGCTTTTTTGGCTACTTTTCAGCCGTGGGGAAAGGGGTTGGCAACCTGGTGAAAAAGGGGAGGTATTTAAGACGGACATTGACCGGTTAGGGGACACTCTCGTGCCGAGTGATTTAGAGGAGTTGGTGAATGTGAAAGTGCTCCTTCTACTGTGAATTAGTTTTTCTTTGTTCCCGAAGCGGATTTGGATTACAAGGAGTGAAACACCTAGAACTATGATATTGTAACGGTGAGAACATTTTATGTGTATACCATTGTATCCAGTGGACCTTAGTGTAATTTGTACGAATATATATATATATAAACTTATGAAAGAACAAAAAACTGTTTCTTGGCATCCTTTCCCACGTGGTAATTCACCTACACTTACAATTAGCAAGACCTCTAAGTCTTACGATTTTCCACAATACGAATAAACGTAGTAAAAAATTACAATATATACTTTTTTTATTTTGGGGGTCTCCAGAACGAATTAATCAAATTCCCATAGAAACTTATGTTAAATCGATAATCGGTTAACGAACAATTCGGATAGCGAACAAAGTCTTGGAACGGATTACGTTCGTTAACCGATCACCCACCGTGCCGTATAAATGCATCACAATTAGTAATCGTATAGTAAAAACCCATCAAAGCGGTGGAAGAGGCTTAAAACTCGGCACTGGGTATGGACGAGGACCGTACGAAACTTAACAAAACGCAAACGGTCGTACCATTAAACAACAAAAGCAAAACTTTCACCCGGTTATTTTGCCTCGTTCGGATGCAATTAAAAACCAAACAGACAAACTGGCGTATTACTCCAAACCAACGCTTTCTGGAGACACGGCGGCTTAAAGAATCGACGCCGATTAGAGTTAACAAAAGAAATAAAAACCGCCGAACGTAACGGGTCAACGGTTTTAATTTCTTTACGGCAAATGGGGCCGGCAAAATTTTACAAAATTAGAAATAACTTATTTTGCTGGGATTTGGACGGAATTTGTTTCTAATTTTATAATAGTAAATTGTAGACATACTTAATTTGAAAAATAAATGTTTTTGGACCTTCCGATTGGCCTTAAGAGGTCAATGGAGAGGGCCATATTATATATTTACTGTATGTATTTTTACGCCACCGAACGTTTGTTTACCGGGCGTAATTTGCACTCGGCAAAATTCCCTAGCGAACGTATAATACGTAAGCCGGAGTCAGGTCTTTACTTTTAAGTACCGGTACGAAGCGGATCGTCGACGTTTACCAACGGAGAAGTACGCGCTGCACTCGCTAATTTACCGCCTTTCTCGTCCGGTCCGACCGACGACCGAGAGGAAACGCATCGCTTGCACCTAGCAACCAGAGACCGTCGTCCGCAGACGCAAAGTGGTCGTCTTAAACGTCGACCGAAACCCGCGGTTGGGAGTTTCGGTTTCCGGACCGGAAGTTCCGTCTCCTGCCGACTCCAATTTAATAAAAGAAAGAAGTAGGCTTACCCGCAGACAGACATCCGTCCACCGTCGGAAACCTCTGCCGGCGGCCCTCTACCGGACGTCGCCCGCATTGACAGAAATTCTCTGGGAAAAAACGAATTATAAATTTAACGTCCGCCGTTTATCGGGCAACGGAAATCCTGCAGGGGTGATACGACGCCGTCAGAAGCCGGCAAAGCGGAACGGTAAAGGTTAATTAATATAGTTTTGAACATTTTTACATCTGATAATAATTAGAATGGCCGGAAGAGGGGTTATTTGCGCTATGTATGGCTGCTTTAACTATAAGATACAAAGTGATGGCGAGTCGTTTTACAGATTGCCTAAAAACAAACAAGTGTAAGTAAATTCATAAGCAATTACATTGTTTTCATTTATATCAACATTCCTCATTTAAAATATTGTTATCATTCAACGTATGTGTTTATATTGATTTTCAGATGCACTCACTGGGTTGTTAAAAGCAGAAGGTCCGACTTAGACAATATTTTAACAAAAGGGCCAGAATATTTAAATAGAAACTACGTCGTGTGTTCTGACCATTTTACGGGAAAAGATGGGCAATTTTCACATAGAAATGAAAAAAATATGATGACAATTGCATAATGCTGTATCCAAATGGGTGTGGGAAAAAATTATCTTCAGAAATGTCAGCAATATTTCAAAACAATTTTAATATATTTTTGTTACAGAGCCCATGTGGAATTAAAACTAAGTTAATTAATTATTTCTTAAAGAATGCAAATATTAAAGGTGTTTGTGACAATTGTATTAAATTATTAGCAGATAAATATTTCAAAGTCCTTATTAAAGCATATGTGACAAAAAATAATGATTCATCTGAAAGTTTTCTGAGAACAAAAAATGCTAAATTAAGGANTCGTAATATCACCGGTTTAAAATCAAAATTCGTAGGTAATATAAGATGGGAGAGCGGAATAAAAGCAGAATAAATACAGTATATCAAATATTTAAAGGATTTTTTAAAACTCCTGTCAACTATACAGAACTATCGTAAAAACGTACCAGTAAATTTCTGTCGGTCAGGTTAAGTTATAAATCTACTGGCGATTCACATAATGGGGCGAGGGTGGCCAAATATCTAGCGGACGGGCGGCTAACAGCCTCAAACCGGTCCTGGATAAATTATTGGAAGCATTTTGCTGCGTAGCTTTCACCGGCTAAACCGGATAGGCTGGTGCTCTGTAAAGCGCGTGCGCGAATGCTTATAATCCGGCTGCTTGGAAGCTGACCCGGTTTCGACAATACGGCGCTTCCATTTCGCCACTGATATTCGAATATGCAACAGCGATCTTATCGTTTTTTTCACACGTAGTGTGGAAATTTGTAATAAGATACATAATGCGGTTATAATGAAATATTAATTTTAATTAATTGAACGTACGTTAAAATATGAAAATAATCGCGCGATACGTCTTTAGTTTTTAGAAAATACGAGGGAAGCGGCGCGCCGCTTCCCTCGTATTTTATTAATTAAGGAATGCAAATATTTTCTTAGCTTTTAGCAAAAATAATAATTACGAAATGTAAATTGCGTGGTAATTTTAGCCACAGAAAAAAATCGACAAATATAAATTTCGATTAATTAAGTATTTAAATTATAAATATTGTGTCACATTCGCAACCAAAATGCCGCCCTTTAGATTTGTCACCCCGGACAAATAAACGACTCGTCCTCCCCTAGAGCGGGTCCTGATCAGTAGCGTGCCGTCCTTGGAAGCGGTGGAAGCGCCGCGTTTAAATACTTAATTAATCGAAATTTATATTTGTCGATTTTTTTCTGTGGCTAAAATTACCACGCAATTTACATTTCGTAATTATTATTTTTGCTAAAAGCTAAGAAAATATTTGCATTCCTTAATTAATAAAATACGAGGGAAGCGGCGCGCCGCTTCCCTCGTATTTTCTAAAAACTAAAGACGTATCGCGCGATTATTTTCATATTTTAACGTACGTTCAATTAATTAAAATTAATATTTCATTATAACCGCATTATGTATCTTATTACAAATTTCCACACTACGTGTGAAAAAAACGATAAGATCGCTGTTGCATATTCGAATATCAGTGGCGAAATGGAAGCGCCGTATTGTCGAAACCGGGTCAGCTTCCAAGCAGCCGGATTATAAGCATTCGCGCACGCGCTTTACAGAGCACCAGCCTATCCGGTTTAGCCGGTGAAAGCTACGCAGCAAAATGCTTCCAATAATTTATCCAGGACCGGTTTGAGGCTGTTAGCCGCCCGTCCGCTAGATATTTGGCCACCCTCGCCCCATTATGTGAATCGCCAGTAGATTTATAACTTAACCTGACCGACAGAAATTTACTGGTACGTTTTTACGATAGTTCTGTATAGTTGACAGGAGTTTTAAAAAATCCTTTAAATATTTGATATACTGTATTTATTCTGCTTTTATTCCGCTCTCCCATCTTATATTACCTACGAATTTTGATTTTAAACCGGTGATATTACGATTTCCTATATCCCATCTTTAAGGAGATGTAGAAAAAAACGTGTACAATTCTTGTATAATGTTAAAAAATTAACTGTTACTTCGGTAGCATCATTTACAATAAATTTAATGAATGAGAGAGATGCACGAGGTACAGAAAAAGATCTAGAATTTATTTTCCTTAAATTTACGATTTACGTATCCGTTGTCATAAAAATTTGTCTTTCCACTTTATTCCCGAGACTACAAATATTCGAGTACGAAGTAACCGATTTCGACTTATTTCTACTTAAGAAGTAGTTAAATAATTAAGCGATTGAGGAATTGGGGACGTAAAAAAACCCTGATGAGAGCCGAAATTTTACTTAAACGAAAGCTTAACCGAACCAATCTCTAGCCGAGTACAGCAAGGACTGATTTCTTCCAAATATTAGACAGAAATTTTTCCAGTTCGACTAGAGTGACCGATTAGTTGTAAATTTTGGAAATTTCCGTGGATACCCGGTCCTAAAAGGAATGTTAGTTAGTAAACAAATGACAATTAAGTTTAACAAATTTAGATTTTTACAGCTATGGTGAGAAACGTTTAAAATCTACAACAACCCCGTCGCATCCTTTGAGGTATACTGGTGATGTGACATTAACCGGTATCGGCACGCACGCACCGCACACCTACCAAGACCGTCTTTGATTCCATCCACCAGCAATTTTAACTAAGTGGATTGTTTTAAAAAGTAAAGAATATTTTATGTTATTTTTATGTACGTTTCTTCACAAAACTATATACAGTAGAACCTCTATTATCCGGACCTCCATTATCCGGATTTTCGATTATCCGGATTGTTCAAAATAAACAAAAATTTTACGAATTTGCTGATTTGCACTGGAATGCATAACTTTTTTTGTTTCAACAACGTCTCACCCAGCACAGTGGTCGTAAACTCTTAAATATATTTTACGTAGTAATAAAAAACTTGATATACGTATTTATAAATAATTTATATTCAAATTACATCAATTCTTTGACCAAGGGCGGCGTAAGGCATGGACGACGTGGACTGCGAGGCATAGGCCACCGCCTATGCCTCGCGGTCCGAAGGGCCTCGCGCCTCGAAGGTTTATGCATTACTTAAAAGCCGCAAACGCGACGAAAAAATTTTACTCGTCATAAAACGATAACTAGTTTGTCAAATTTTTATTTATAAAAATGCAGTTTCAACTGCTTTTTATTTTATAAAATCCGTCTTCTTGCGCCACCAGAGGGCCTTTTAAACAATAGGTAGTCTGTTAGCGTTGGTCACTAGTAGTCTAAATTCGATACGAACGTTTGTTTCTTGAAAATTTGATCACGATTTAAATACAGTATTTACTTTTAATATTACCGATATGTCATCGAAAAGAAAACGTGTTATATTATCATTAAAAGACAAATTAAAGTATTTGTTTCGATTATCCGGATTTTTCCTTATCCGGACTACCTTCATCCCCAATTAGTCCGGATAATCGAGGTTCTACTGTATAATTATAATTATCTTTAAAAGTATATTCGTACAATTGAATATTTTGTACCGGGTACGTATAATTGTATATCCATCACACATTTTATTTTACCGAGTAAGTTTTTATCATTTTATTTTTAATTTTAGCCCTTATATTGTGGCTAGCGATTCGGAATGTAATCGCGATATTGAAAATTTATTTTAAGAAGTTTTGGCTCGAAATCGTATAATGAAAAAGAAAACATTATAACTCGTCAAGTTTACATAGTGTTACGAAAAACTCGGTAGTTAAGGCCNGACCCCGCCACGCGTTGTTGTGGCTCAAAATGTATCTATTATAAATGTATAACACTTCCCCCGTGTGGGGGGAATTTTTCGAAAAATTCCTTCTTAGTGTAGTACATTCTGTTGACGTACCCTATTAAAACGCAATCAAAAACGCAAAAAACCGCATCTAAGATAGTATAAATAGAAGCAGAGTTCTTTACGGTAAGCCTTAATCCTGTTCATCTCCCCCCAGGTGGGGGAATTTCGACACGTATATATAAAAACACGTGCGTATTCGAATGCAGCGTCGTGTGAAAATTTCAAAGGAATTAGTAGGAACAAACGAACATTACATTTTTATTTATATAGATAGATAGATGATCTGCTTTAGTTCATCCTCACAGAAAAGCAAACTTAGGACATCATACTCGTAGCACCATCAATTGGACATAAAAGCCTTAACCCTAGATGATATCCATTGTAGTTTTATTTAATTAATAAAAAATCTGCAGGTTTGATTAGTGGTAAACATTTCGGAAGTCATAAAGATGCTACAGTTAAAATTTGGTAACGATTGGTTCAGTAGTTTTCACGGTTAGTGGTCACAAACGAAAAATACGTTGTCTCTTTATATAGCAGTATAGATTAATTAGGGGGGGTCGGAAATCGCAATGAAATTTTTAATTTTTTAAAAATATTTAAAAATATAGGCCTAGTTTGTATTCACCCTACTTTAAAAAGTCAATAACTTATTACTGTCAATCCGTGTCAGTGTTAATCTCTGTCCAGTATCACTACCCTCGTACGATGTAACTTCTCGCCTAGACCCGACAGATCGTGAGAAAGGTGAATGAGTATTCCTGTCTTTTCCTGCAAGAGTGTCGGGCGCAAGCCTTACAACCATACAACTTACTAGGCTTTCATGAAAATGGCCACCTATTGCACAGTGATCCAAGCAGAAATTGGGCCGTGTCTAATGCTCTAAAACAGCGCTGTCCAACTTATCATAGCCCGCGGGCCATATTTTCTTCACCAAACATTTCGGGGGCCAAGAAGGTTGGTGATGGCTAATTGGTCGGCTGGGAATCACGCCACATGACATTTGCATAGTGCTACGGTTCAGTGAGCACTAATTGGTCAGCGAGTCCGATCTCGACGCTATAAAAAGGCGACAGTTCGACACACCGGATATACGTCACTCTCGTCTAAGTTCGACTTGGGAATTTTTTTGTTCAATAATAAATGTGAATTCTTCTTCCTGGAAAAAATAAGACCTAGCGCATTTTTCAGAGCAAAAATTAATATAAGGCACTGTCTTATTTTCGGGTAAACACGGTAGTAAAAGAATTTTAATATTAATAATAATAATTTAGTAACATAAATTTATTCATTGTAAAATGTACTCGCGGGCCGTAAAAATTATTTGGCGGGCCGTATACGGCCCGCGGGCCGCCAGTTGGACAGCGCTGCTCTAAAACATCCAAAAAAAAATAGCAACTATTATATAAGAATATTCACAGACATCAGAGCTACACTGCATATTCTCAAGAATAAAACTGCCAACTCCAAGCTGGCATTAATCTTATTCAAATCGCTGAAGCCATTCGTACCAAACACCACGCTACTTTTCATTGGATCCCGGCCAACAAGGGCCACGATGGCAACGAACAGGCCGACTAGTTGGCTAAAAGGACGACTGATTCAAATACAACAGTAAATTCCAGTAGGATCCCTCTGAAAAACATCAATAAGAATATTAAAGACATCACCGATAGGCTATGGCAGGAAAATCAACTATGGGAAGACAGTGTTACAAATTCTTCTCCTCCATTCACGAGGATTAATAATAAACATTTCGAACCCTCTTTTGGTATCACCCAGCGCTTCATCCAGCACGGGAACTTCCACAGTTACCGCTACCGCTTTCGGAAAACAAAGTCTGAAAATTGTGATATCGACAACGATCGAAGATGACGTAAATCATTTCTTACACGAATGTACCAACTACGAAAATCAACGCACCAGTTCGAGCCCGCGTGCCTCCATGCCGGCTACAACTGGCCTCCTAACGAAAAGGACTTAGTCACGGGCATTCAGCAAATTTATCACCAAGACCAGGACTCTCACCCAGATCACCTATTTACGCCAATGTATACTGAGCCCAACCAAATGAGTAATAACGACTTACCAGCTTCTACCGACATCAACAATGATAACAAGGACGAGGACAACTGCTACGATAACGGTGGCGAAAATGATGATTCATCATTCTGGCTGTCAAAGCTGTGGTCTGCAACTTTCCCGTCGGTAACGACCAGGACATTGCGTTGCCCGTCCACACGACTGTACGCGAAGTTTTTGTGCTCTCCTCACTGCTTTGGTTAATTGTTATTTTCACTGCAATGTAACGCGTTACTTCGCGTTCTACACTGCACTTATCCTTTGCATTTTCTGACACGTCGGCACAGCCAATTTTCTTTTGTGTTTAATTTCTCAACCTTTTGTATTCTCGCTCAGGTGGTGGGAAGCAGCGCAGTGTTTATCCTTACGTAAACGATGCTCCTTACCGTTAAAATTTTTCCTATTGTAATAGCCGCATCATTGCGCCAATTTTCGGGCTATGGCTTTGTGCATCTGCCTTTATTCGTTATTATTTTTATATTTTGTTTTTACTGTATATATTGTTGTAACTCATCCACTATTGTAAATATTTGTATATTCGTCGCATTTTGTTATTTTTGTATAATTTTGGTCGTAATAAATACCGATGCGGCTCTCGGGGCCCTTCCCCTTCATTTTCACTTTCCAATTAATCTTTCTTTCTCAATCTTAAGTTCTTCCCAGCCTTCTTTTTAACCCTTAGGGCAAAGTCAGTTTACGTAACAGATAGCCCCGTAATCCTTTATAACAACAACGCCTTACAAACGGACAGCGAATGGGGGAGTACGGTCGAAAGAATAAAACCCGAGCTAATTTAGCGACCACCTGGCGTTTTCAAGTGTTTGATATACAATACGGCTTACTAAAAGTACTGTTTTTACAAGCGATAAAACAGTCGAGGAAAAAGATTAGGATTTTTCGACATAAACTTCTTAAATGGGTAAAATATCGTCGATGGGACGTATATTTCTTACAAGGAAAATTTTAACACATCGTACGGTGTAAATGCCGAGACTCGTCACGCGGGAGCTTCTTAAACCAGTTCTATCGTATTTCTTTCGTAAATGAAAATTTTAGCCGGACAATTTTAACAGGAACACGAAGAACGTAACGAAATAAACGGCAAATTATAAAGGCTCTAAAGTAATTTTCAAAAGAGCGCCAAATGTTTACGGTGCGTTAACGAAAGGAGAGCAAACCTTAGGAAAACACGCCGTTAGGAATAAAGAATTATATCGGATTCACCAAAGAAACTCGAGAGTTACGTCTGCAACACCAAAATGACGTCACTTTCGCCGGCGAGGGAAGCGGAACGGCAAAAATTAGACCTATAGGAAGGCCGTTTAGCAACGTCGTCGTAAAGATCACGTGCGAACTACGGCGGTGGGCCAGCTAAAAAGCTTTATTTGTACACTAATACGCTGTATTACTATCCGATTTAAATATTGTCAAATAGACGTACTTACCGCGTAAAGTATTGGTAACGGAGTAATCGTAATTCGGCGACGAAAGTATTGGCTACTCCTAACTTTCGACGATTTAAAATATTTTTCCTATCCAAATTATTCGTTTTTCGGGTTTTTAATTTGCCGTTAGATCGAAGGCAAAAAGTTTAATCGATACGACGAAGCAATCCCGGTAGACGCCATTTTCGACTACTGGCACGCGTAGTAGCTAGTTTATATTTACGACTGGCAGATGGCGCGTTTCGTAGAGTAATTTCCGCCCGCCAGTACGCGCGACACGTAACGTCGAAGGTTTCCGCCGTCCCTTTCCTTACGCCAGTACCGGGCTTTAGACCGGTGTTTCTCGATCTCTAACGAATCGTCGCCCCCTTGGCTTCAAAATTCCTATGCCGAGGGCCGAGGCTGATGCCAAATCCGTACCGCTTCCAATAGACTAGTGACTAGTATAATGTTATTTGTTTAATTATTGTACGATATAACGTATAAAATATCTAATTATTCTTAATGTAATGTTTTAGTATATTGGCCAGAAAATTGTTTTTCACCCCCCAAGATATAAATTGCTGGTAGTCGCCCCCGTTGAGAAACACCGCTTTAGACTTATTTACCCCGGGCAGCGGAAATTCAGATACATTTTAAATTTAAAATATGCCCTCTCCGCGTGAAATTAGTGCCGTAGTGGCTCGCCCCCGTACAGTACATCGTACTTTTCCTTTAACATTTTTCCTTTATCTTTAAGTGGCGCGGGTTATCTTTAACCGCTTTCGGGGGAAGTTTTGAATGGAAATAAGGTTTCCGTATGCGGCTTCGTCTTTCGTCTCTGTTCTCGAGATTAAGGAAAGACGGACGACGGTGCAGTTTAAAATTATAATTTCGACAGGATTCAAATCCGGTCCGAAGGGTTCTCTCTCAAAAGACGCTCTTCCGGCAGAATCCGACCTTCGTTCCGCCGATTAATTTGGGCGGAAGACGGAGTCGAAATCACTAAAGGCTTCCGTCCCGTCACTTCTTTCGCGCGCTTTTCCCGATATTCCAAGTCGATTCTTTGCAAACCCGGACTAATTCATTTTCCCGTCCGCCGTTACGCGTTCCACCCCCGACCGAACGCTTCGCGCCGCCGATAAAAAACCAGTTCTTAAAACTTTCGGAAAGTGACGCACCGCGAGAAAAGAGCGGAAGCGGAAAAAAGAGAGAGTCGGAAGAAGTCAACGGTTTATTGAGGGCGAAAAACTCCAGATTCAGACCAGAATGTGCCAAGACTTGGGTCGGAAGGCGAGGGCGGCCAGGGCTCCGGCCGCTCCCAGCAGAGTGGCCAGGCAGTCTCCTCCTCCGGCGGCGGTCTTCTTCCACCTGCGACCACACCACACCGTTACAAAGAGACAAAAGTGGCGGCTGTGGCGCGCGCCGATCGGCTACTCACCCTGCGGCGTCCGAGAAAAGGCCGTCTCCCTCTCTTCTCTCCTTGCCCTGAAAAGAAAAAAAACCCGCAATTAGCCGGTCCGATCCCAACGCGGTCTCTCCCGGCGCCCGCCTTCCGTCTTACCACAAGTCGGCTCTCCTCCCGTCCGTCGGCCCGGTTCCCGCGGATTCGGGCTTCTTCCCTTCCTTCTCCTCCTCTTCCCCCTCGGACGCTCTTCGTACCCCGGGAATCTTCTCTTCCCTCCTCTTCCCGTCCGTTTCTCCTCCGGTTTCCGTCGGACGCTCTCTCCGCCCTTCTCTCTCTTCTACCCACCTCCTCCGCCTCCGGGGCGGTCCGTCCCTCTCTTCCGGCCTCTTCTCGGCCCGCCGTCCTCTCCTCCCTCCCGGGGTCCCGGCGGTGGCCCGTCCGGCGCATCCCGGCGGCGGCCTCCGGGCCGGAAGCCCCGTCCTTCCGTTCCTCGGGGGAGAGGCGGGCCGAGCGGGAGAGCGGTTCCCGGGCGGTGGCCGGGTCGGAGTAGCGGCGTCCGTAGACGCACACGAGGAGGAAGAGCAGACAGAGAGCGGGCGGGCGAATTGCGGACTGCATGGTGTCGTCTCGGAAGAGATTTCCGCCGAATCTGCCACCGCAGGACGACCTCTTCCTTTTAAAGGCCCGGCCGCGTGCCTTATCTCCGCCCGTTAATTCGGCGGCATTCTCTGCCCACTCGCTTCTTTCCCTCCAATCCGGACGTTTCGCCTTCGTCCTTCCCCCTCCGGCCGGCGCGGAACGGCCGTCTTTCTCGGCCGGTCGAAAGCCCGCCACGGCGCCCCGACAAAGAAGAAAGCGCCGGCCGTCCTCCCTCCTTTCTCACCGAGAAGACGGAGACCGGAGGAATTGCGCTTTTCGTTCCGGGGCGAGAGGAGGCGGGGGTGACCCTCCGCCTTTCTGGTCGGAAGATCCTAGCGGAACGCTTCGGGTCCAGTATAACGGCGGTCCGCTTTTTTTCCGACTTCCGCCGAGACGGACACACGGGAGATTAAAGAGAAAAACGGAGGTCGTAAATCGGGATTAGGCAGCCGGGATCGTTCGTCTTCCCCTTATCTGGCGGAGACCGGGTAGAAGGAGATCGTCACTCACCGAAAGGTCGGCGGGGCGGTCTAGGTTCGAACGGCGTGAAGGGCGTAGGACAGACCCCGGTGGGTCTGCCAACTCCAGCCATGGGACCAGGGTCGATACAGGGTGCCGTGGATCAGTCGAAGGCGACAACCGTCTGAAAAAGAAAGCGGATTACCGCGGGTCTATCCTTTTCTCCGCGCCGCGTTTACCGTTTCTTCCGTTAATCCGCCGGTCGAGCGAATAATAGGACGAGCGGCGGCTAACGAGAAATTTTCCGTTTCGTTAAGCCCTTCCGCCGCCGGGAGAAACTCGTTTACGCACCGTCGGCGGCGGGAAGGAAAAGACCCGTCGAAGGTAAGAATTGGTGGGACGGGACGGGAAGACCCGGACCCGCGCCACACGAAATTTATAAATTGAAAGTGGAAGGAAACGGCCGGTCGTCCGCCCGAAAGGTCGACTATTTTAAGCGTAAAGGGTGCCGAAGTGGCGCAGTAATTCCCTGGCCGTTAGGAGTCCGAGTAGCGCCTGGTCTTCTGTAGGAAAAGGGCGGGCGCATTTCCGCCGGCCGACGTACACTACCGGCGCCGGCCCACTCGTCGAAACCGATGCGGGCCCGAGAAAAATTGGCGTCGGTTCCGCCCCTTCCGGACTCGGGCCGAAGACCGTCGGCGCCGTACCCGGTCTTAGTTTTTTCGGGCGTATGGCGTAGCCGTCGACCCCTGCGGACAGGGAGCGGGAACCTCCCTTTACCGAAGGAGGGAAATCGGGGCGCGGCTTCTTAATGCGCGTGGCACCCGCGGCACAAATCGGGACCGAACGGAAAAACTCCGGTATTTGCTGCGGGGGCCTTTCTGTGGCCTACATTATTTATCCAGGTCCGGGCGTGTTCCGGCTAAACCGTTTTCGCTCGTCTCCGTTCGGCCGGCGTAAGACGCGGCGAAGGAAACCTGGCAGCCGTTGCCCGGGTAAGACTTACTTTCTTCCAAGATGCGTCGCAGTTCGCGGGGCGAAACGAACTTGCTCCAGCGGTGCGTGCCCGCGGGTAACAGTCCCAGGACGTATTCGGCTGCCACGATGCCCAGCAGGTAGGAGGCCGCGGTTCTGTCCACGGTGGTGACGAACAGCGATCCGTTGTCCTACGGCGGAAAAGCGTCGGCAGATTAGCGCGTTTTCTCCCTTTCTCAAAGCGCTCGACTCACCTTCAGCGAGGCCACGCAGTCGGCCAAAAATCGGTCCAAACGGTCCACGTGTTCCAGCACTTCGCTGGCCACCGCCGCGTGGTAGCGGCGGCCCCCCGCGCTCCACTCTTCCACCGTGCCGCAAACGTATTCCACCCGGTCCCGGATGCGGGGACGGGCCGACAGACGGATTCGGGCCGCTCGGATCACTTGCGGACAAGGGTCCAGTCCGGTCACCGACGCTCCCAGAGTGGCCAGCGCCTAGAAAAAAAAAATTCGTCCGTTAATTTCCCTCCGCCTCCGCGGACGATTTTTTTATAACTTTCTTCCGCCGGGAAAGCGCGGAAAGACGGAGAAAGACGAAAACCCGGAAGCAGAAATTCCCTACGTTCAGTAACGACGGGAAGAGCGAAAACATAAGTACGTGGCGGAAGAGAAAGAGGAAAACTTGCGGCCAGAGAAAAGAATCGTCGCGGGTGGTAAATATCGGGAGCCAAACGAGTCGGTAAGCAAATTCCTGCCGATCTTCTCTCCAACCGGGCCGAGAAAAAAGTCTCTGCCCGGATCGCGGATAAATGCGCGACCGCCTCTGCCCGCTTCCTTCCCGGTAAATACGACGTCCGCGGCCGGCGGAAGGCGGAATAAAGTCGCGCCCGGGAAGCGTGACAGAAAACCGAGAGACGACGTCCACCACGCTTACGGGTTGCGCGTGCAAGACGGGGGTAAACGTACCCCTTTACCCCCGCGTAACCGTCAAAAGCGTCTACTTCCGTCATTGTATTTATTCAACGAGCGGCGATTCCACCGCCCAATTCGTCGGTTAAAGTAACAGAAGCCGAGGGACGGGGGAGTGTCGAAGCGCCGGTTAAAACGGATAACGATCCGTTAATTTGGAAGTGGACGAAGTAGAAATTTTGAAGGCGGCGAGAGAAAGAGCGGAGCGGCTTTAACCCAGGGATAAATAAAATGTCGAATTAACTAACCCGTCTATTTATTCGCCTCCGAAAGAGTTTATTTTTAAGCCGACGATAGAGGCATCGGTAACGAATTGATTCCGCGGCATTACTCTCTATCGTATTTAGAAGACGGAGGGCCACCGCCTACTCCGCTTTACGAAATTATGGCTCGAGTGCCGCTTTTTCGACTCCTTCCCCCGTGGGCGCTAAGAGGGCCTGTTTTTAGCCAGTCGAAAATTTGCTGGGAATTTTGCAACTCTGTAACTGGCAAAACCACCGTTCCCTTTTATAATTATCCGCTCCGCACCATTCGTCTTTTACTCGTACGATCGATGCGGGCTATCTTTTACTTTCCCGCCTACAACGTATAACGTAGGGAAAGTTTGGCCGTCACCCTCCCAGATTTTTACGTATTTGGACTCGGAAAGGAAAAAGTATCGGGGTTTCTCTGTACGCGCAGTGCCGTTGTTACTGCGCGGCGACCCCGTTCCGAGCTTAATAACTCCCGCGCATTTAGTGGAAAATTTCCGAAATTTTGCGGGGAGTTTGTTTATTAGAGGGATCTCGATACTAGTAAATTAAAGATGGAGATAACTCCCGTAGGATGGGACTTAGCGGCGTTATCAGCATTCGTCCCTACCTTAAAAATTAAGTTTTTCCCATTTTATAATAGTTACCAGTAAAAATATCGTAACAGATGGCGCCATCCGTCGAAAATTTCTGTCTGGCCCACACAGATACGGAGTAGGCAAAAATTTGTGTCTAGATCGGTGCGGTACCGTAGAGGAAAAGATTGGTCTGGGCCGTTCTTATAAGCTGGCTACGGACGTTTCCCAAAGCGACTAAGTCCCCGGTCGGTCTGTTTCGGACCATAGTTAGGAAGAGTGTATTTAAATCTGCGTTATTGATTTATAAAATTCGGGTGGGATGGAGAATAAAAAACTGCGTAAATGTATAATATATATAAAAATAAAAGCTGTGCGTACTTTTAAAAACAATGTAAAGGAAGAGGGTAAAGAAAAGAATTCGTTTTTACAAAAGGTTAAAACTTGTTGGAAATGGTTTTACCTTTCGACCAGATAACGTCCAACCTATGTCGGAACGAAACGGTAGGTGCGCTACAACTCTTGGAAGGATGGCCACAGTCGTCCGACTGCTTTGGGACTTTGTGGACAGACAAATTGGACAAAAGGGATCTATACGACCATCCTTTATTCTTATCTCGATGTCGTGAGATTTTGCCATCACTAAAGCCAGGTATAACAATTTTTACATTAAATTCTTGCGCTTGGTTACTGTTGAAAAGCCTGAACTAGTTACAATAAATGTAATTAACTTATCCTCTTGGTCTTAAACCTTATGTCGGTAGTGTACAAATGATGCATCGGTTCCGCTACAATATTTACAATAGAACCAAAGTAATCATTCGAAAAGAGAATATCTATATTGTGATAGTTTCGTGGAAGTATGTAAATTATCCATACGTAAGAACAAAATGCAAATTAAAAACAATCTTCACAAATCGTGTGACGATTGGCAACACGCTGTACACTAACTGGTAGAGTGTGCTGCAATGCCTTAAATTCGTCAACAGTAGTGTGAAATGATTATACTTTAGAAAGAAATAAACCAAAATATATGAGAAGCTGCGCGTAGATTCCACAAGCGCTTTCTAGCTGGACTAAGACATTTTGAACATACACTATGGAAAATTAAAGCAGTTTTTGTATTCATTTGTGCAGTATTGATTTTTATCTTTTACATCAAAATTCTTTGTACATTATACTAAATCTTCTCAAAATTATTTCCTTCAATTATCTTTGCGCCTGAGAGAGAGAGAGAGGGAGAGAAAAATTTAAGTACAGTATCTTTTGTTTATTGCCACTACTGGTTACTGTTATCGGCTGCTTAATGTAATCAAAATACATTTTCCTAAACCAGTTCTGTATTTCCTGTGTAAAATTTCACTGACTATTGTGATCGGCCTGCCACTTATTAATTAAACTAGGGCATTTTTAGTACAGTGGAACCCCGGTTAACGAACGTCCTGGTTAACGACCAAATCGGTTAACGAACTTTTATTTTGCAAAAATTTTGTCTCAGATAACGAACAAAATTCGGATAACGAACGTAACGGTATATCGTGTCAAATTTTAGTTGGTGTTACGCATGCACGAGTTAAGCATTGCTTTTCCGAGTGTTTGTGCTATACTTCTTTTTTTCAGTTTTGTGATTTATATATTTAATCAATATGGTATCAAAGAAAGAAAAAAGTCATAGTGGCAATAGAAAACGACAATGCGCTATCGCATTTGAGAAAAATTTTGATTAAAAGAGTAAGACAATCAACTTTAGATCAATTTCTTGTTCCTTACGGAAAGAGTTTGTTTCATTGTTAAGTTATGGCAACGCAACACTTGGGCGATCTGACTAGGGTGAAATGCCTTCTGGGAGGTGTTTTTAAGGGAAACTGG